CCCTAAACCCCCTAAAAACCTAAACCCTAAGCCTAAACCACAAAAGTCAAACCTTAGGCTCATTACAGGAAGCAGCACGGCCAAGAAGCACCTCCTCGGCCGCGTTCGCCTCGCAGGCAATGCAAAGAGAGACACCGTGAAAGCATACGGGTTGGGTACTGCTCCCCTACCCTAAGAGTCCATGTAGTCAAATAGTATGTACATTGGCCCTAAAGTACCTATATGGGGACTACATTAAGGCCAAAGTATATACAATTTGGGTACATGGACCCTTAGGGCTACAGCAACAGTCTATATTAGCGTTACAAATAAGGGCCTTCTATATCTGTATTATAAATATGTTTCAACTGTTACCGAGTGGTGGCAGTATCCAAGATACAGGCTAAACCCTCAACCCTGAACCCCAAAACATAAACCCAAAACCTGTTGAACTCTAGAACCTAAACCCCTGCATCATAAACCAAGCCTTATGCTAGGGCTGCAGGACGAGAGGCGCTTTGTACTTTCAGGTGTTGATGGGGTGTTTGTCTGTGTGTGTGTGTGTTGGACATGTCTTCACCCATGATCAAAACACAACATCGGAAGGATGACGGAGAAATCTGACTGGGTGAAGGATGGGTTCCTGTTCCACCCTAAACCCTGAACCCTAATCCCAAAGCCCCAAAACCCCAAACCCCCAAAACAAAGCTAGCACATCAGGTTGCACCTTGAAACAATGACGTTCAGCCCTAAACCCTAAACTAAACGCCATAAATTCTAAACCCTAAACCCTAAAACCCTAAACCCCAATCCCGAATTTTTTTTGCCGACCGAACCCAATTGGCAAGGTCTGCGCAAAGCTAGGAGCCGGCAACAGCCAAAGCTCGTCTCACACAGCGTACAGCGACCATCTTCCGGTTGTTAAGGACTCCTTAAAAGGCTTCCTTTTGGGGATTCTCTCAGGGTACCCTAGGGTGTAGGGTGTAGGATGCAGGGTGTAGGGCTTAGGGATTTAGGGTTTAGAGACTAATTAAGTAAGGCTCATCTATGCGCAGATTCCTAGGTTGTATGGGACCCTACTTGGTTTTGTAGCCTCAAGGGTCCGTGTACTCTAGTACATATTTTGGATTTGAAATAATTCCAATTTAAATGCTTTAGAGCCCAAGTGGGTGCATGGAGCCGGAGGGATATACTGTAGGGCTTCTACTAGGAGACTAAGACCTATATAGGTGGTTCGGGATGAAGTACGAGATTGGCTCGGCTGACCAGGGTTGAGTTGAGGTTGAGCAGTGTTCGTAGGGTCTTCTAGATGTCAGACAGACCCGAATCTTTGCCGATTTGCCCAAATGGCGGAGAAAAACTCTCCAGATATCTCGGCGAGGCGTTCCCAACATATGAGAAATAGACATGAGAAGCTCTGTAGTTTGAGGACGGCACCAGAAAACTGAGCAAATTGTTCTGAAATAACTTTTATCATGGCTATAACTGACGGATGCTACTATGAATACTGTATGCCCTGAACCCTAAACTCCCTAAAACCCTAAAACCTTGAAGAGAAGGGCCAGGGTCGCTGTACGATGATGTCCAGTTACACGTAACTGTCTGTGAGATTACCCCTTGCTGCCCTAAGGCAGAAACTGAGGCTCTGTACTTCAATCCTGTCCGAAAATCCAGGTGCTAGGAATTGAAAGGCTGCTCTGGACTTTGAAACGATAGCCCTCAGATCAGCTCAGACCACAATCGCAGTTTCCTCGGCAAACTTGCCTTAGATGGTCGGCAAGATGGCCATACCCCTCCACCGCACTACTCCTCTGTCTTATGACACGCGCTACCAATAGAATCTGCTACTTGGAGGCTCATCGGACCTAGTAACCGGGTTATAACTACTGTAGGTGTACTCCTAGTTAAATATAACCCCACTGCTTAAGATGCTTGTAACTGTACTAAGTCCCAAGTAGAAGCTTGCTGCGTTCTTGTCCCACTGCTTTCCATGCCTCATACTCCAATCCACGCATCTAGACCCGAAGCCCGGGAGCAGGGAGTAACAGGAACCTGTTTGGGGAGTAACGGCAACCATTTCTGAGCCGCCCCGGTAACTTAACAGGAACTGTCCCAGGAAAGCCAAGCAATCGAGACTATGCTGGAACTCTTGTGTGGGGGACCGGTTTTCGGTCCCCTACTTTGACACCATGAAAGCCTTATGCTGACGCCTATGTTTCGTTACACGCATGTAGAGGTTCACGTTCTGGGATATAGGATGCCAGTGGCAACACACTCCTAGTCTCTGAAGCAACAAGTTGCTGTTTCAATTGATTTTGTCGAAGGAATATGGATGATTTATCGAACATCGTGGACTGACCAGCACCAGCTTGGCTTGTTTCCTGGGTTGAGAGTTTGGGCTTGCGGGTTCCGGACTCCGCGGCTGTAGAAGTATTTAGGAGGATTAGGGGTTCAGGGGTTGAGTGTTTTGGGGGGTAGGGTTGACGGGTCAGGTTCAAGGGTCCAGGAATTTGCCAATCAAGAACGGCTCTAAACGCTCGAGAACGTCTTTAAACGCTCGAGAACGGCTTTGGGGGCTTGGGGCTGCGGTCAGCTCTTAGCACCAGAAGTGACGGAGAAAGAAGTGACGAGTACAGACAAGAGCCTCCGTCATACGATCGTGCACACACGTCACGAAATCTGCCGTTTCACTCGCAGCAGACACATGCAATGTTATTCTGGAGCGTTAATGGCAACACCCATGCTGTAGCCATCGGAAAATCAGGACAAAAGTTGCTGTGGACATGTGAGCTCGGTTTCTAGTGCTACGTGATGCTGTGAAGCCGTATAAGTGGGAGACCGGAAAGCGGTCCCTGAGTTGGCGAGCCCAAAGAGCAGGTGGATGTGAGACAAGTCTTTCTTGGAGCCCCACACTAGTTCCTGTTACGAGGGACGGCCCGGGGGGTGTTACTGGAACTGGTGGTTGCATTACGGGATCGGTCCCCATTCCCGTTACGGACATCCTGTTCCCATTACGGCAAACACTCGCCGAAAGCCCTACCACCCTACCCTAAACCCTAAACCCTAAATCACAAACCCTAAACCCTAAATCCCAAACACTAGACTCTAAACCTGAAACCCTGGATCTCTTATAGCAAAACCAAGAGATCCCCTACAAATACCCTTAGCAGTATAGCAGAAGCTTCGAGGACGGTTTTCGAAACGCCCACCCCAAACCCTGAACCCTTAAACCCTGAAAGCATGCTGCCTTTTGCTGAGCTTAGGAATCCGGATCAGAGGGTTCAGGACTTACCGTTGAGCGCTTCAGCGCTTGGGGTTTAGGGTTTAGGGCGTTCGGATGGTTGAACAAGGCTTCACAGGATTACGTGCGTCTTTTATCCTCGGGTTTACATGGTTGAGGCTTAATGGTTTTTTGAAAGGGGTGCCGGGTGCAAGGTCTAGGGCTCCGTGGTGGAAGGTGGTTGTCTGATAGCAGGATCCCAGTTAAAACGGATGACACCCTGCCGCACTTCAAAGAAAACGCACATCAGCAACCCTTATAATCTGTATAAAGCCCCCCCTCCCCCCCACCCCAAATCTCTGTCAGGGGCCACATGGAAGATTTGGCTAGTTGGATTGACCTCGAAACCCTATCCCGGAAGCCCCAATCCTCCGGCTCCTTACGAATCTGGCGCTTGCTAGCTTAAAACCCCAGACCCTGGACCCGAACTTCAGTGTCCAAGCCAGGCTACCGTTGTACTATGAACCCTTATATGGTAATTGAAGCTTACGCCTTTTAAGGGTAGGTCTCCTTTAGACTAGATTTCGTCACTGATCCCCTAGACCCAAGCCAGGCTACCCTGGATAAAGTCGTTGAGCATCTGCAGTGCCACAGCCGGCTGGTCCATGGGCACCATGTGCCCAGCTTGGAAGACCTTTGGGTTTAATGATTCGTGCATGTTGTCCTTGGTATAGCACGCAGAAGCTAGAAAAAAAAGTCCAAGAAGGGCCTACCCCCTAAAACCTAAACCCCAAAACCCTAAACCCCTAAACCCCTGAACCCTAACTGTCGGAAGCTTGGGGCTCGAAGCTCGTCCGGGTCGGATACTGGTAAAACGGTGTCTGGTCTTCTGGATGTCTGGTCTTCTGTGGGAGTTAGGATTCGGGGGATTTTTGGGATTAGGGTTTAGGGATATGTGACTTCTGTGAGAATTAGGATTCGGGGGTTTTTGGGGATATAGACCCTTTCAATAAGGTCCCTATTTTTGTTTTTTAAAAAGAGGGAGCCATAAGTCGGGTTAGGAGGGCAGGGTCCCCTTCAGGGGTCTCCCTAACACTACCCAGACTTCTGGCCAATTATTACGGTGTAGGGTTTAGGGTTAAGGGCTTTTTCTATGCCTCCGGCTGACAGGCCCTTCGGCTACGAGGAGAGCAATTTGAACCTGAACCCTCATCCTAGAGTGAGAATGCACACGGGTTGAGGTTCTGGGGCATGTCACGTTCTGCGGTAAATATGGATATAAGGAACCCTTGGCTGACTTCTGAAACCCTCCTAAAAGTTGAACTTTCAGCCTCCTTATCATAGGTCCTATAGAAACCCCAAAAAGTAAAGTCCTAAAAGCCAGCCAGAAGAACGCCAAGAACCCTCATGAATAGTCTGGGTTCTTGGTAAGGGGTTTAATTCAAGTTGCCATAACACGGAAACCATACTATTTACTATAGATCCCTGTTATGGTAACTTAATATAAATCCCGTAAAAAGAACCCAGTAGTGTCGGGACCTAAACCCCTAACCCTAAACTCCCCAAACTCCCTAAACTCCCTAAACCCTAATCATTCCGACGCCCCCATCTTGCTCCCTGAAGCCTGGGTCCAAGACCCTACGCTCGGCACCTCCGACTCCCAAGTAGCCCAAAGCGAGTGGGTACTGTTGATGATATAAACCCTGCACTGCCTTTAAGGACCCGAAACTAAGGGAATGATGGTATATTCCTTGTTATGGGTAATGCAGGATGTATATCTATCTATATATATATATATATGTATATACATATATATATATATACATATATATATATATAGACTTTAGACCCCAAAGTGGGTACTTCTTGTACACTTGGAGCCCTAGGGTAACTTTAAAGGGGACTGCACAAGAAGGAATCTTTTTTTCGAATATTCCGACCTCTATATTGATATCGCTCATGGGGCACCCTAAACTAAACCCTAAACCCTAAATCCTATACCCTAAATTCCTAAACCCAACGGAGTGGAGCCAAATAGTGCCCTTCAACTTCGAATTTCGAGATCCAGGGTTTTGGGCTTCAGGTCGCAGGGCTTGGGGTTCCGGGCTCAGGTTCGGGGTTTAGGGATTTGGGGTTTAGGGTTTATGGTTTAGGGCTTGTGGTTTAGGGTTTAGGGTTTCCGTACTTGGAGGTTCTTGGGACATAGTAACTTTAGAAGCCTAGGTACGAAGTCCCAGGATCCTTTACGCAACATTCATCCATATATCCCAACCCCAGTCCTAAGGGTTTACCCTAAACCCTAAACCCTAAACTCTTGGGGTTCAACTCTGACAGAATCACACCACGCTAGCCCCCAAAACAAACAACCCTAAGGGTCCATGTGCCCAAATAGTAAATACATTGGCCCTAAAGTACCTATATAGGGACGACATTAAGGCCAAAGTATATACTATTTGGGTACATGGACCCTTAGGGCAACAGCAACCCCCCCGCAAATTTGTGCACATGACCCTGACAACCCAAACCTCCTGCCAAGACTGCCCACGGCACCTTGAACAACTGATGGTTTCTGTAGATGAATACGCATACAACACAACCTGAGGACCTAAACTTTACACCCTAATTCCTGAACCTTAAATGACCCTAAACTCCTAAATCCTGTGAACCCCTCTAGAAGAACCTCGACTGCATTCCTGACTAAAACCGAAACTACATGTCCTGAGGTCCCAAAACCCTTTGAGCTCTTATATACTGTTGAAGGGACCCCTATTAAAGGGACCAGGTAAAAACCCAACGTTGCGGCCCCGCGCTACACCCTAAGACCCTGAATCGCGCTGAAACTTTGCAAACCCCTGCGGACCCCGTGTTGCCGTTTTGGAACTCTAAACCCTGAGCCCATCCCCCTTTATTCAAGAATATATACCTTCAATTATACTAAGATCCCTAATCTGATTCAAGGTATATTCCTAATTAAGGGGTATTGGAGTGTCTAGGTACGCCCTAAACCCCAAACCCCAGGCACCTGCATGAAGTGGAAGCCGTTAGCAGAGCGAAGGCGGCCAGCGGCCTTGCCCTCCACCTTTTGCATGGTTTAGGGTTTAGGGGAAAAGGCTCCGTAAATGATGTTTAGGGTTTGGGGTTCAATGTTTAGGGCTTATGGGAATAAGGGAACTCCTTGAATGGGACTTCTTGAAAAATCTGTTGCTCAAGGACCTTGTGAGAGGCTCCAGAAGGTTCCATGTCCCTCACTTACTGAAAAGCACACCCCACGAAACTTTTGCATAAACCCCAAACTTGCCTTTACCCTAAAACCGAAGCAACAAAGCTCAAGCATTGGACATGACGGGCCTGTGTGCACAGAGAGAAGATGCGATGTGCTCTGAATATTGGAGTGTCCACCAAGATAGCCAAGGCGAATAAAACCCTTCAATTCACTAGAGTTAAGGAATGGGTTGGACATGGGCACCATGACATGTAAAGATGTATACACTCATACTGTGAGGATCCTGGTGATTCTGCACTCCTTCGTGTGGCGAAATTCCCCCATACGATTCCATGTATGCAAATAAAAAAATATATACTTTGGCCTGAGAGTAGTTCCTTCATGGGTATTTTAGGGCGAAAGTACGTTCTAGTTGGCTACATGGACGCATAGGGTTCCGTATGAGAACATGCACCTCATGAAACTACCGTGCGATCCAAAACTATGGAGCATTCGCTTAGAATCAGAAGTAGGGTTTAGGGTTTAGGGGTAGAAGCACCACATACTCATGCGAACCACAACCTCCAACCAACGAGCAACAGGAACTTCAGACCACCGGCAATGCTAAGAACCGGAAGATTAATGTGACCCTTGTCGTTGTGGCCATTGTAACGGCCACAAACTTAAGTGTTGACAGCAGCTGGTACCAACATAAACCGAAATAACATGATCATGAAGATGGTCATTATCATCGCCATCATCATCATCATCCGCACCTCGTAGCTCTTGTCGCCAGCGGCGTTGAACTCCGCCTGCACCGAGCATTGCAGAGAGCGACGAGTTTGGTTTAAGCTTTGGAGGATCCTGACTTTCTGGCTATGATATTTTCGTGCTGAATACAGTTGAAGAGCATGTCTCCTAAACCCCAAACCCAATGTATCCTAAACCCTAAACCCCAAACCCAATGTACCCTAAACCCTAAACCCCAAACCCAATGTACCCTAAACCCTAAACCCAATGTGCTGTTTAAGTTTATCTCGGGTATACTTCAGTCTACGCAGCTCGCCTCTTGCACTCGCACCCCGAGATCCCCTAGCCGAAACTGCTCCCTCCTAAAAGAAAGCCAACAGGCCTTCAAATCAACATTTGTTGGTTGAGGGTTTAGGGTTTAGGGTATAGGGTTTAGGATGTAGGGTTTAGGGTTTAGGGTCTAGGGTTTAGGGCTATCTAACTCCTCACAATGGGGTTTCTATAGCAAGCCCTTCTTTTCAAGGGCTCTACAAAGGGGTTACTCTAAGGGGTATTATGGGAGTTTAGCATAGGGGCCTGAACAACTAGAACAGGGTTTTGGGATATACTAAACCATAATTATAAGAGGAACCCAAAGGACCAGTGTTGCAGTACTGCCACAAGAATAAATGGAAAAAAGCACCTAATAAATAAGTTCTACGGGGATGATCGTACAGATCCTGTCGATCTATGTATTCGGGCCCTTATAGCAACGAGGGTTTACCGCCAGGGCTTACAGTAGCTGAGACCCTGAGAAACAAAGAGTACCCGGAGGAACTGACATGGTCATCATGGACACCATGTAACCATCTCATGAGCAAATCAGACCTAGTGGTCCACGTACACACATAGTATATACTTCGGCCCCAAAGTACTTATATAGGGTCTGCTTTAAGGCCAAATATATACTATTTGGGTACATGGACCCTCAGGGCAACGTTTTTTCTGGACCGCATCTTGATCCTAACCACCGGTTGCTGTCATACTCCGCCTCACCCGCTGCAACTGCACAGTCATCAAAGCCGTCGCTACCATCGCCGGCTGCAGAAGCAGCGGCGTTCGTACCAGAATAACATCCCCGGCTTTCATAGATACTGTGGCCAGGACGATGCTCATCATTCTCACTTTTGCCAACATCACCAATCAAACACAGCATCAGCACATCAACAACACCGACATCTTCCTCCTCCTCCTCCGCCTCCTCCTCCTGATCATCCTCATCATCACCGGCGCTTGCGGTCGCTGCCATCATGTGGGCCTTCACGTACATGCCGAACTACGTCCCCCGTAAGACTCAAGGTTCGCATCCACCCTCATAATGGTTGGATCCACATTGACATGATCGACGAAGACAGGTATATGTCAATAGTATGAGCCTGAGCCATATATAGTAGTCAGAAACGCCGTTCAACGCACGTACCCAAACACGCGATGGACGGCTCTGCCTGCCGATTACCAGGCTCCGTCGCAGCTATCTATGTGACGATGTCCACAACCAGTCTTACTGTTTCCAAAGCTGCACGGCCGCCCTTGGTGCTGCCCCGAGACCCGAAATCCTAAACACATGCAGCCTTGTGGGGCCACTCGAGACCCAATGCCCACTTCCTGGGGAGGCACACATCACAAGGTCTGGGGATCGGGGCGGGGGGGTACGGGGTTCTTGGAGGTTCAGGGGACTTGGTAACTAGGGTTGTAGATAAGGTAACTATACTTATAACCCCAGTGAAGGTATTTATAATTGTACATACGAAGTCCCATGAACCTCCAAGTACTGAGTACTTACAGGATCACTGGACTTGGTAAGTATGGTGATAAGTCAGATGGCTGCAGTTAAACCGATATAAACCAATCAAGTTACTATGACCCTACACTGGACTACCCATGAATCCTACGCCCCTTGAACCTTCTGTAACCATTATCAACTGATTTAAATACAAACAAGGCCCTGTGTTACACTCCTACCAAAAAACCCGATAGCTTAGGGTTCAGGGCTAGTAGGTGCAACGTCTAAAGAAGGTAGTACCAGTGTGACCCTTTCGGAAACTCAGGGTTTAATAATTAGACTATGCGGCCCCACGGAATTTGAACAGCATTCGTAATAGCTTAAATCCATGGGGTTTCTCGTGATTTTTTACTATGTTTATCATTATATTGCTCTTGTTTGTATGATTAATATGATCAGTATTATTCTTGTGTGTTTTAATTGTGCTTTTGATGGGGGGGTGGTTTAGCATTTACGGTTTCTTTTTTGTTGGGGTGGTGTGAGGGTGTATAGGGTTTAGGGATCCTTGCAATAAGTATCCTACACCTTATACAGCCTTATATGTCCTTCGTTCCTGAAACTCCCGCACAGAACATGGACTCTGACATAGATGTAGTACTTACTAATTACATGCCGCTTGATTTAAGCATGACGACGACGACGTGTTTACGAAGTGTAGGGGACGCCAGAATTTGTCCGAGGGGCTTGTTGCCGAGCCAGTTGCAGATGTAATCCACATCACCTGTCACGGTTAGACATTGGGACAGGTTTTGACGCTGTTTCCTTGCAGGAACGAGAGATGCTGTGAGGACGACAGGGGCTTACAAAGTGCTTGGAGGGAGCAGTTATGGGACATTCAGAAAACAAAAACCCTAAATGTAAAGGCGAACAACAGGGGTCCCTAGTTCCATGAAGCCGTACCCTATACGGGTTCATACTTGGAGGATCACGGGACCAAGCAAGTAAGGTTATAATAGTACCTTGAATTGGGCTATATGTAATCACAAGTATGGCCGCCTTAATTCTAGCTACTATGTCACATGATCCTTTAGGTACGGGTTCTGAGCCGCAGCGCTTAAGGTAACTGCCTTCAAGCACACAAAACGGCCTACATGACCCCTCGATCCCTCGAGCCTCGTCAGAATCACAGGGGTTTACCATGAAATCTACAATCTATATATATATATGTATGTAAAAATATATATATATATGTATATA